AAGTTGGACTATCTCATGTGCCTTTAAGTACAAATAACAAACATCTAGCCACTGAACGAGCACGGAAATAGAAGTACGAAATTAGATCTCTCTAACGGATGCTAATTATTTATATAAAGGTTGTAAAATCCTTCATTGTAAATTCATGCATCGGAATATACCTACATAATGCGACTGTCAGATGCTATACTAAACCACGCTGAGTGGAAAAAACGTAAAACTAACACCAGTAGTACAAAAATCTTTACAGCATCGTTATCAGACTATGTTTTTTTTTATACGTTTTGTATGACTGGCGCATATTGTTTTTATTATCAAGTACGGGCTCAACCGTCGAACTTAAGGATAGGCAAAATTGCCACGGAAAACCCTTACTCCACTGGAGACTCAGAGGAATACTATTTTTCAAAAGGTAAAAGCCTTTCAAAACGCCAGGACTGAAACTGGTTTTTACTGAACTAGTGAGTGGGGAGCGATGGTTTCTGCATCGCGCTTTCGTTGTTCGGACTAAGTTTTCCACTGTCAAAAAGAACTTCGAACTACACAGACCATTCAGTGCGTGCAAACAGGCTCATACGTGGCTAAAAATTTGTTCATGGGAAAAGTTAAAACTTTGAATAGCGTTGTAAATGTTGAAGTGCTAAAAAAAAACTTACTGTTGCATCATATTGAGTTGTTTCAGGGTTATCTTGTAACTGCTTCTGCAACGAACAACTACGTCACCAAGCGTCACAATGTATATCGGATTAATATTTTCCCTAAACGGTTACGTGTGCCGTAAAAGTTTACTGTCCGAAAGTTTTACGCAACCCAGCTTACTAGATAATTATTTTTTTAGAGTTGAGTAACGTTTTACTTCGTTTATTACGTGCTCGCGTGGCAACGTGTTTGCCTTTTCTAATTGGCCGATTTAGGCTTTCTTAAGCAAACTCTATTTAGGTACCAACCTATCGATGATGGAGCTCGAGGTTTCAAGGTTTACGATGCTATACTAACGCTTGTTAATAATAATAATTGTAATAACAATTATTATTATCGTTAATATGAATGTCATTTCGTCATATTTCCGTTTGAGGGATGGACGAAAAATGAAAGCCTGAAATAGGGAGGCTCTCGTCGTTAAAAAAGGCAGGGTGCCACGTCGACATGTCGAACCAGTGAACGATGGATGATGCAAAGTAACACGCGGAAACGCATCCTTCGAAAAACTAATGGTTTAACTAAACGACAGATGAAACTACAATAGCAAATATTACCGTTATAGACTAAAACCTACTACATGTGGCTAGACGGCGTCTAGGTAACTACAGTTGCGTCTAAGTAACTACAGTCGCGACTACTGACAATTACAATAGGAAATTTTCGCGTTTGCAACTTATATATACATTAAATATACACTTTAATCATATGACACAGGCACAAATTAAATGCTCGTTTTTAACATCGTCGCTAGGAGTGATTTTCTAAAAAAAAGCCCGAATTCAAAGGTAATACTTCTAGGCAACCAAAAGAAGCAACGAATTGGCAATGACGCAATCAATTGGCATAGGCGCACCTAAAAGGTTTGAATAAACTCTGCCTACCCTATTGCACTTCCCTTAAAACGGTATAGATTTTTCACTAAAGGTCAGGCAGGTTGTCCCATTGCGTAAATTCATTAACGTGTTCGGAAATTGAGCTGTACGATAACCGTCGAAAATTGGCGAGTTTAAACAACGTCGATTAACACCCTTTTACGTGAACCTAACAATAACGCATATCAATGCGTCCTTCTGCTACAATTACATAAGTAATACATTGATTGAAAAAAAAACGCTGCCATCTAGATTCCACTTGATACGAGTGCTTATCGCTCTTCTCGTCATTATTGATTCATAGATATACTAAACAGTAAGCCAGCGACATAGCCACTAGTATGGCTCCCCCCAAGGCCCACGCACGACACTAGCCAACGATACAACATCAGCAATCCAGCCTAGTTACAATCAAGCCCTACCGCCGTTTCGTGAGTATTCCTTGTTTTCCCGGCTGGGTCTTCCGATTTAACCTAACCATTCCATAGTGTAGGGCAGCCGAATTGGCCAATAGCGATTGTTAATAACACTTCAGACCGCACCACGGGCCCAACATTACTCCAGTGTGCGCTTGATCGTTGGTTGGATTAATAATAATTTTATTAAGGGTAACTGCTTTACGGTAGGAAGTTGTGTTATCAGAGGGAAAGGCCACCTCGGGAAAGAAACAGCCAGGTGACGATCATCGGAAGACAGTTGCTGTTTATAGCACACCCGCTATCACCGGTGCGGTCTTACCTTGGGTATAACCGCTAAAATGCAAATATATACCTATAAGTAATTGCAGAGGGTCTATATAGGCCTTAAACAGGTTAGGGTTTTCGGGCTAATAGAAAAAGGGCACTTAACAGTTGCATGGAGACAAATGCCTTACCGAGCCTTCTTGTAGTAGTGTCTGGCATTCATCCTACGTAGCGCTTAAGGGGCAGGCACTAGCCCACCACACCCATGCGTTTTGGATGCCAGCTTTCGTCCGCCCCTTTACACGAGGAGCGAGCACAATAACTAGAAAAACTTAGGAGCTTACCCATTTTCTAATGTAGACGAGTGTCTGTGTTTCAAAAGATAATACAAATATGTATTTATTTATGTATAGATCTATGTATGAGTCAAAGCTAATAAGGATTTCCTTCTTTCGTTTCATGGTCGCCGGCGCTGGCAACGAAGATAACGTAGGGAAATCATGAAAAAAGCAGAGCAATTTTTGGGGTCTATTGCGATGACGGAGACATGGCAAGCCTTTAGTGTAGAGTAAATTCGGTACAGACGAATAATTGGAAAGCAGCCTTGAATGCTTCCCCCGAGACCTTAAAAACAGGGTCTAGATGGGTGTACGGTTAAACATTCGTGTCGGTCAGAATTTGCTAGACGTATTATCATATTGATGCTACCCCACTTGTGTACATGCAAATCTCCTTGCCGGGTTCTTAGTTATCTCTGCCTGAACTTCGTGCAGTAATCAGCTCCTATCTTCGACAACCACTAAACGCAAACATTCCAAGTCAGTAGTATCTATACAGCGTGTGCTGTCGACGCGATGAGAATATTCGCACACATCCCAGGCAGCGGGACACTGAAGCAAGACTACACGCGATGTTTGTAGCTAGTCCTTCAAAGCTACTGAGCCCTATTTATTCGTTTGTGCAGCGGCTTTATTCACCGGGTTCTATCGGCTACGACCCCAGCAACTGAACGCTATCGACTAAAGGAAAACTGGCGAGCTGAAATACGTTGCTCGGATGGAGAAGGAAGTAGATGAAAACACCAAACAAGGAGATGCTAGAACACTAAATAAAGACATGGAATGATTTGCAAGTGGCAATAAGATAAGGATAGACGGAGAGAGGAATTGTGAGCTCGTCTGGGCGTTGAATAGTTGTAGCTCTGGGCCTAAGTGGGCCATTTGAAGTGGACTTTGAGCCAGGGGACTGTACAGCTGGATAAAACTTCCGGCCACGGCGGTGATAGCCGGCAGTTTGGGAAGCGATTAAGCCCAGCAGTTGGTCTAGAGTTATCTAGAAGTCTAGACGGATCTAATGGGGAAAGATCTGTCATGGCTAACATACGCAGAAAACCTTAGAGACGGTTTTACAGGGTAGCTAGCTGGCATTTCAGAAGGAGTTTGAGCTGGGCGAAAAAGGCGAGAAGGATCTTTCCAGTCTTGCGCATCCTATGAAATACGAGAAATAAGACTAAAACTTCTGGACGTCAACGTAGGACAATTGACTTTGTCACATAAATGATGAATTGAATTTGTACCCCCCTATGTATCGGTGTGCGTGGTTTATACATTTTAATCTCTACTAAGCCTTTTCCAGCTAACCAGAATGAAATAGAAGGTCCTAGCTACGGGCCGGATTGATCTGAACGGAGCGAATATCTTCTTTAGACAGACTAAGTTGAGATACTGTATAACAATAATCGAGGCATAGGGCAACATGGTGCCGTGTTGCCGTGGAGATACGGATTCATTCCAGACTGGAAAAATAAACTTGGTGTTTTATTTATCTACATAGGACTTTTCGAAACGATGTCTAAAATGGCACAGTTACTTCCATACATTAAAATCATATGTATCAATTTGTACTCAACGTCTCTTTAGTTGTATGTCTTCATAACGACATACTGTAAACCAAAAATCAAGATTTACTTCTCGAAATAGATTTTGTATAAATATAGATAGACATAAGCGATCGATACGAACTTGTGTTTGTTCTCTAAATGGATATCCTCAAATGGATATATAATAAATGGATAAATAAATGGATATCAAAAATATGCACGATAAATATTGCGCAACGTACAGGACCGCAAAAGCTAAACAAGAGACAAGTGCTTTAATCGCATCGGTCTCTAATAGTTTCATATCGACGATTTGAATCTAATGTGTAAATATTTTGATAATTTTTGGAGCTCGGATTGAAAATCAGGCTCGTCAAGCACGGTGCGCCTCCTTGTTCCCTAAACATAGCTTCTAGTGAAATCATAATAAAATGGCTGTAACCATATGATTGTAACAAATGGTTCTACGATTAAAGCGAAACAAAGATATAACCTTAATTATTTTGTCTACTGAGCTAACAGTAACGACTGAACATATGATCAGACAAATTCCCATACATAGTCCGCCGAAAACATTGGAAAATTTTTTTTTGTGTCGATCGGAAACATTGTCCGTTTAATAGATAAAATCAGACAATTACGCAAAAAACGTTTCTGACTTGTATAGGAGCTGTATATATATAAATGTTTGTGCACGTGCTTAAGACCTCATTGTGCTGGCATTAGCTGAAAGCATCGATAGAGTCCTTGATGATTTTTAGAAATTTCGGCCACTAAAAAAGAAACATATTCGACCTTTCTCGTAGAAGTCAGTGATATTTTATTCTTATACTGTCCCACAGGAAATATCACAATAAGCAATACCTACATGAATAGATACTGTGCGAGATGCTCTCTGTTAACTAAACGTATCTCCTTTCTGTAAAAATTGCTTGGTTGATTGCCTCTAATAAGCTTTAGGTTATACTGCGTTCTACGCTTGCCAATAGAGCCATGTTCACACCGAATCAATAAAAGCCACTCGACGGTAATATCGCTGTAAATGACTAGTGAATCAAGCTCTACAAAAATGGACGTGAGCGGAAATTCTGCCATACCCTATCTTTGCATGTCCAGTAACATGTCCTTAGCTAAGATCGATGAAATCTATCTCGTTCTATAGTTTCGATATTCACACGTGTTTAGCGTTTATGCCGCTGCGAAGCGTACGTCAAACATTTTATCTAAAAGTCTACGCTTAAAGCAAATAATGCAGCCGTTTCGCCATATTTAAAAATCGCATTTTTCTATACTCAAAGTTCTTTTCCTAGTGGAAACAGCTTTTAGGCAATTACCTCTGATTATAATATTCCTTATAAAAATATAATACGTGCCAGTAACGCTTCACGTCGCTGCCGTCTGACAGCATTTGTGCCGCTGGAATGGCAACCGAGAAACGACTGATTTTCAGGGCCAGCCCCCTGTTGCTCCCCGCCACTCAGACCAACAGCTTTATATTGTTTTGTTTGAGCTGGGTGATAAAAAAGAAGATAGATTCAAACGCTAGTGGCTTCTTCCTTTTAGGAACACTTGTTTGTGGTGAAGGAGAATGAGGTAGCGAAACAACCTTAAAGGGAAGAGCAATCCGAAAATTGAGCCATCTTTTTTCTGTCCTTTATGACCAGCAGTCAGCGCGGGCAGCGGGCGACGTTTTAGTACTTGGTAGTAGGTGGTACTACAAAGAAAGCCTAATGCAGGTGGCAGGCCTTTTAGGCGAACGGAACAGGGGCAGAAGAGAAAAGGGGGCCAAAAAGGAAGCAACTGAAAGAGCGAGAACTAAAGAGAGCCTCAGGGAACTGAAAGGTCTTTTTCGCCTCTGACAGTGACAAAATACAGCAAACTCCGGAGACGGGGGTTAATCCAAAAGCAAAACAAGGGGGCAGAGTCGGTTGTCAGTAGTGATAACCAGCGAATACCTGTCAGAGAACCGTCTGCCCCACCAGCAACGGACCGAGAGTCAGTAGCAAAGCTTTACTCTGACTAAACCTGAAGTCTTTGCTGCTTGGCTACCGCCTGCTATTCGCGGGAACATTTGCCAACGTTGAATGACCCGAAGGTCAGGCGTTTTGTAAAAGTGCGATGCCGGGTGACTTACTACCGCCATAGCTACTTCAGACAGAAAAGGCAGGGAGAGATTTTCGATGATTCGATGACCATTGCATCAAGAAAGTTATAATACCGGCGCTGAAAATCAATGAACAACGTGCCCAAGACGGTCACAAGCGGGTCTACAATGACTACACCCGCAGTGGATGTAGTTCAAAGGAAATCGACCTGTTATAGTGACCAGTGATAATATATACTTCTGTCAAAAAATGCATTTGGTTCGAGCCGTAAAGTCTAGGCCACGTTGTATGGCACTAAAGAATTGGAAAAATAAAAGGTAAATATTAAATAAAGCTACTGTAGTTTCTTGTTGAATTATTTCAAAATGTATAACTAGTTGTTGATGCAGGCCAGGCACCCGGCAGTTCCTGTCCAGGAAACCCGGCAATCGTTGTAAGTCTTTCTTGAACTTACTTAAATTTTACAATCATCAATGTCTAACTTGTGGCACACTTACCGAACATAATGTTTTCTACTTTAATTAATTTATTTAGAAAAATAATATAAGCTTATTTTTACGTTACGGATGCCTTTCTACCACAGCAACATTCGGTAACTGAAAACAAAGAGAGGTTTTTTCAACGTAAGTCTTATGAATGACTCTATTGCACGATCTAAAAACTAAAGAACATATAGACATCCCTTATCCAGTCCGTCCGCAGTTACTTCGTGGTATTCCATGGCCTGATACAGTTGGCCGCTCGTGATCCGCAATTTTTTTCTGTTGCAGCAAAAAATAAGAAGAATGGAGCGGACAGCAATGAAGCCATTTGAATCCGTTTTTTTTTTTTCTACCATGGAACTCAATGGACGAAGTCGGAAAATGAAGTTTGGTTTAAAACTTTGCTGCTATTATCGTGACCCAATCGGCCAGTAAGAACCGGTTTATACGTAATAGTGTTGGCGTTGACGCCTGGTTTTTCACTTTGAGTTCACAGGAGAAGAGGCAGAAAAAGGAACGTTTGATTGCTGAGACGCAGAAACTGAACTCAATGGGTTCGGAATGGCTGGCACCAGTTGAACAACTCTGTAGATTTTCGGCTTCCGATGCTTTGGCGATGGCAGCCGGCTGTTCGTCCTCTAGAGCATTGGAGGAAAGGCGGCATCGGTGGTGGTAAACATGATTTGCATTTTATTGAAAATTTACTTCATCCCCGGTTAGCCCACACGTGATCTCACTCCGTAGTGCGGTCCATAGCTCAAAATTTAACGTGGAGTCCGCCTTCTTTCCATAGACCCATGGATTTATTTATTCAACCCTTCTCTGCAAGCGATCGGCCAGCGAATAGTCAGCCACTCAATGTAGGGCTAATATATCTGCCGCCACTGGAAAAGTTCGTCTATCACATAACATACAAGCATACATTTCTATCGGAAAGCGCAGAACTCCCCATTGTAGACCCGCGACCAGATCAGGATTTGTGCAAGCGCTCAACTCTTGTATCAATCCGCCAACAACATAATTTACAGAGATTTAAATGTATACTGTTTTCTAGGATCGATCAACTAGGTCGCCGTTCTGTGGTTCACAGTGTTGCCATATCAACGCTTTACTTTTCACACCTAACCAATTCACGCAGTTAAACCTGTGCGGAGGCTTCGGCGATGCTACAAGTTATATCATCTGTGTACCTCTCTCATTCGGTCGACCAGAAACTAGGACTGGAACGCGCAGCTCCCGCCTACTGGCAGCAACTTACCTAAGCAAAAAGACACAAAAACTGTCCAACTCTATCGGGAATAAGTTAATCTTCGCGACAGCCGCCATCTAAGGATGAACAAAGTTGTATTAGATTCTACGATGTAGGTAGGTTTTCAAGCAACACTGTCGTGTTCCGTAGACTGGCCGCTGCTTCCTTCCGATCCGCGTATGAGTCTCTTCTTCGATGGTAAGAACTGGGGTAAGGCCATCCAACCACTCAGAGGTAAACTCAACCAGTCGATTCAGGAGGAAAGAGAGAAACGAAAAAAGGGGGCGAAATAAACTAAGCGCGTCGATCCGAGATTAACTTCTCTCTGCAACCAACTCCATGTGATACTAACCACCACCGCGACGATCAAGCAAGTAGAACGAACCTGAAAGCGGAGTAGTGAATCGAGGTGGAAACCGTCGTCTGCAGCTGTGAGCGATGTGGCTCTGAGGTGCCCCGAAGCCTTTGTTCCTACGGGAGTAGGCTACTGAAGGGCGAAGGAGCGATGGAGATGGTGCCGATTGGTTGTCACCTCAATGGAAACTTTGTATTACGTACATGTCTTTGGATGCGTCTTTCGCCGTTTTTCGTAGGTCGCGTCAGACACTCATGTCAAACAATCGTCGTTGGCGGTGACGACAATGGTCTGACGTATAGACACTGCGGGTATTAAAACTGAGAAGCTTGCAGCTGTGTCGTTGAAGGGTGAGTGAATCGATGTGGGTGTGCTTGATTGCTGGCAGACAGAACAGGCAGTCTCACATAAACTGACAGGTCTTAATCAGGAGGTGTCGTATAGTGCAGTAAGGAACAGATCCGTAGCTGGTTGACTAGTTCACTTTTTCTTTTCATTGTCCTCCGGAACGACCGCTGAAACTGTTGCAGTCCTGTCATTGCTCGCTTGATACGTAATCAGAACGCCGAATCCATAGCAATGTAATAGATCTATGTCAAGTAGCATGAGCACCTTTGTTTGCCATGAATACCTTTTTTTTGTTGCTTTTCTTTGACCTGGCATGAACAAAACAGAAGAGAAATAATCATCTGAGCACATGTGAGCATGTTATCAGCGGCTAGACAGGAAGTTCTGAGCTTTGTGAGCTTATTAAGCTATTATTGAAAAAATAGGAATCGAAAATATGGCTGTATTTAAAAGTGTCAATCGAGAACGTATTTTGATAGATAAGCTAGAAGCTGTTGCAGCCCTTTTGAAGGCAGTTTTTTTGACGTAGCGCATTCAAAAATAATGAAGGCACATAATGCTGAATTAGCTAAATCTTGAGGAGATTGACACATCTGAATGATGCGTGTTTTTTTCACGCGCGATAGGAAGGAGCACATATGTGACCTTACGATATATGTGAAATCGAGGAAGCTGCAGTATAAGTTAAATATATTGAAATAATAGTCAATTGGAGTATTAGGACGCAGGCGAATTTAAAAAGCTAGCGCGGCGTTATTTAGATACAGTCGTATAGTGTGTTTAGATGTAAACAATTTAACAGAAATATTGCGTGGACTAGGTGGCAATATTTTTGTCGTATTTTATCAGCTTTCTTACGAGAAATGCTGTATAAAAGGTCGACTCATATTATCGCGAGATAACCTAATCGGCTATGCTAAGTAGATACTTATTTACGTTATATAATTTTCGACATTTTGAAAATTCGTTTTGTTCGGTCTTTTAAAGGACTAAAGGCTTGATATCTCCTAGTGGCCATACGTTAGCCAGATGTGTTGTGTGTGCGTTGCAATAAGCAGGCGCACTATAAAGAAAAAGATGACCAAGTAATACATACAGAATATATAATACAGGATATGAGACCGACATCTGTTATAGGGTCGATATTGATATTAAAAGCAAACGTTGCTATTTTTGAAAATGAGAATCCTTTCAGGCATCCTTATTTATCAGTAGATTTCGCGCGAGCTGTTTCTGTCTGCTGACTGGATATCTCACTTGCGATAGGTGACGTTCTAGATCGACAACGTGAAGTGCTTCGAAAGCTTCAACTTCAATAAGTAGGTTACATGACGTGGTGGTCTGAATGTAACCTTCTGCTTTTCCTTTAACCTGGTTTATGTTCTTAACGATCTTTTTGAGCGAACGACTCACGTGTGTCAGGTGATCCCGCAGTACGCACCTTCGACTCTGGTGCCCTACTAGACCTTCAATTTCGCGTTGCGCCTCTGCAGGCGGTGGCTTGGCGCGTGAAGTAAATGGCACATGTGGGTTGACAACGAAAAGCCAATGATGCGAGAGGGCACAGGCTACGTTGGCAAATACGGGTAGGAGTCTAAGGAGTTTTCTGAAAGATAGCTCCACTGTACTGAACCTACTGACAGGACAAATGAGGAAAGAGCAGAAGGAGCAAAGATGCTAGTACTGTTAATAGATATTTTCGGTTTTTCGTTTTACCAACGGAATAGAATGCTTGCTAACCATTATATTTATATATATATACATCTCACTTGCGATAGGTGATGTTCTAGATCGACAACGTATGCATATATATATATATATATATATATATATATAACGTTGTGCATATCTCAAATAAGGTCACACTTATGTGAGAAAAACTTTCATCATATATTTTATCATAGATATGTATCAAAAATTAGGATGACCTTCATCTGCGCACCTTGCCAGTAAGATACGGTAAATTTTTTGGAAATCGATTTACAAAAAAATGCTAATGTACCTTATCAATTTACATTTTTTCCTTATACAACAACCCGTAACAGTACAATGGTGTAGTTAGCGAATACCCTTAATAAAAGCTACACTGTAACTTAATGGCAAGTTCATCTAGATGACAATTACTAATGTTTGCCATAATAGAAAAATCACAACGTGCAATCCTCATACGAATGAAGTATGTATGTAAAGAAGTTTGTCTGTTCAATGAACTTACGAAAAAACTTTTTTCCTGAACTTCTCTAATCGAACAGTGCTCAACGAGGCGGCACTGCGCATCCAACATGTACACAGTGTGCACTAGACAAGCTTTAAGATGGAAAGACCTAGCGACCGGCCAAATGAAAATCAGGCATAGCGAGGTTGTGTTGTGCGGCAATTTATTGCACCCTTTTGTACAATGACAGCAAGACCTGGTACATATATAGCAAGCGAAAGGTTGAAGACACAGATACCGTAAGATTAAGATGTTATACTGGAGAGGAAAGGCGTATGGAGTACGCATAGAAAAGCTGCAAAGTGTACAGCTCCATTCGCCTATAGTTAGGTCCAAAGGAAAAGGTTTTCATAAGGGTACAAAGGGATTTCTTCGAATGGCTCTAACTCGTAAAAAGAATTGAAGGCATGTCGGTTTTCAGACATGGAATTTCGTCGAGGATAAAAACACTAACCTCGAAAAATCAATGAAGCCGTCAATGGTACTTACGCCTAACAAGGGTTCGTACTATACATTTAACCGATAAGCTTAGAGGAGGACTCAAGGTTTGTTGATTATTAGAATAATTACAAAAGGATGCGTGACTCATTTTGTGGGTGGACTGACCCATTTTATCGTGGCCATTTCCTAGATTCTTTACTACAGAAATTATCAATCACATTGGATCAAATGTTTCTTAGAGGAATTTATTCAGTTCGAATTACTTCAGCTGAACCACTTGAGTACTCTACATGCTACATTGTCCAATATATCGAAAGAACAAACGCGGCACATCTTCGAAATCAGCATCTTAAACTCGTCTCTTTGATACATGCTCGAGTATTCATTCACATCTGTCTACTTGCAATATTAATAGCAATAATAATAATAATAACTAATCAGAGTAGTGAACGTAAGCTTTCAACCGTCGTGTCGAACGGAAATAACAAGTATATATATGTTGTTCTGATACTGACACCATAAACTGAAGACTACTTGTACCGACTGGAAGCAATTTGCAACCACCATAAGCCTTTACGCGACACATGGTTCCAAGTCGACCTCTCTTTCCATGATCAGAGGCTCGCATGAGAAGCGTTGATGTTTCGTTACAATTGTCGCTCAGCAGCTGTCAATACATCTAGTTGCGTTCGATTCCGCCGTATCAACTAAATCATCCTGGTCCTGGTTGAATCGCCCTGCTCAGGAATGCTCTACCAGTCACAACCAGCCTCCCGAATCTAGTCGAGCCTCAGCTGGCGTACTATTTCCTTCATTTTCTTTCTATCCTCATCCATTTGTAATAATGTTTTATGTTTCCTCAACGTTGTTGTAGAATCTCGCCATGCTATGGAGTGTTGTGTACATATCCATGGTGGCAAGGCGGACAGGCGTTTAGTGAGGTTGTCAATGGCAGTCACTTCAATACTTCACCGAGCGATACCATCTCCTTGATTTTCCGAGGGAGCTCCATTCGCCCGCTGCTGGCCTGGCGGGCTACGTCATTTGTCTGTGCTGGGCAACTCGATTTCGAGCTGAGCAGTTGCGGTAGAGGTGGCCTACTTCCGAACTGTGTCACAGCTGTGCACACTTCTCATTGAAGGGTTCCCCATTGGCCAAAAAAGTAGCCGTACCGATGCCTACTAGATCTCGTTCAGCCTATCGCAGTTTACAACAGCACTTGGTTCAGAGTCGGCGCGAAGTTTCGTACGGGAGACAGGAATAGAATTTCGATTGAACAACGGTTAGCCCTGCCGCTGGTTATTGTTGTAAAATTGTTTAATACTGTTATAAAATCACTTAATACGCCGTTTCAATGTACAGCGTTTGCACGGCGCGTTTAACAAACACTGGAAGCAGATTTGCGATTTATCGAAGTGCGTCATGTGTCGTGATGCGAGCTTAACGAATATCTGAATAAGTAGCTTTTTCTTCATCTAAATGAATATGTTGTATTCTTGTATCGCTGTAAGTACTTCACTTGAAACACAATTATGCTGTTGGGTTAGTTTATCCTACGCATTTTAATAAACATTCAGAATTGACTGAAACATACGGAAAACCTATATGGGTTAATTTCTTGTTTACTCACGTTCTTTTCTCATTCATTTATTATTGGTAAGGTATTATATGGTATTATATGCAACTTAATATATATTGTATACGTACGCATATTATTGGGCCTTGTTGGGTCCGTTATCGACGTGGTCATCTATGATAATACGCTCAGGCTACGTAAAGTACCTGGATGACTAATCTCACATTTTTCTCTCTAACCTTCGATCTAACGAGTTCTAATGTTGACTAATTAGCGAACGAGAAATTAACGTATCGTAGGAAGATCGGTCAGCGTTTGCCAATTGGAACAGCTACCTAATGACCAAAAGGGTTCCGAAAGTACATGACTTAGTGGAAATACTCCATCGTCTTAGACCCTAAATAATGACCCAACCTATCACATGTCTATCTCGGATACTCTAGATTATGTACTTGGAGGCGTGTAACCGTTAGGTGAGGCGTCAAATGGATTACGTAAAGCTAAACGTCGCAGCCCTTCATGAAGATGATAACAATGTTTCAATAGTCTACGGCTAAATCTATACATTTCATAACTTTCACCTCAACATAGTTCAACTTTATCTCTCAACTTAGTCATATTTAATTTCCCTTTACCGTAAATATATGATAGCGTCATACGATTTCGATCACATCATATCGCATAGATACCGATGAAAAATGGAATCGCTAATTTTTAGCAGTTTGATAAGAAGCTATTTACGAGGTAATTGCACATAGCAGATACACAAAGTTCTAAAGGGAACTGCAGATAACTTGGAAGATGCCGTTTGAGATGAATGCATGTTTGAATTCATCTCCTCGATTGGATTAAGTTTATTGGCAAAACAAAAAACGCATGAGCTCATCTAAAAGTCTCTTTTAAAGGGGATTAGGAGACAGGCGAGCAAGCTAAGTACGTACATTGCTGCTGTATGTAGTAAAGGCTTACAAATTTAAAAATCGTCTCTATTCAACACAGACTCGTCTGTCTAAACGACTATAATACGTTGAAACTTTTGATACACAATCGTAGGTAACTTTCTACGCAGATTACTATGCTACCTAGCGTTTATCTCTCAGAAAACACTACTCATCGTAGTAAATAGCTATTTTTACTTTCTTTAATTAGACATGAATATTATGTAGTAGTTGTTGCGTAAATTAAACGAAATTCTAACTTGTTTTTTTAACTTAACTCTACCATATATCCATCAACGACCACAGTAATACGCAGCAATACGAGTCTGTTTTCAACGTTTGTTGCCGCGATTCCCGTCGAATAAGAGTTGACGCTTAATTTTTTCAACAAATCGGTTGGCCTGCAGACATAAGCCTAACAAGCGTTGCTTTGCCCTTCATGCGTCACCTCCTTCTCCTGTATGTGACACAACGTATATTGATTCTACTCTGTCGTGAGTTATCTCCCTCAATATTCTGTGCGCTTTAGCATAACACTACACCGCATATGTATATATTCTACGTGTAGATAAAAATAATTTCCCCCGATCAGGCGGATTTTGGCAATATAACGACCTGGCGTAATGTCTTGGGGGGATATGATCACATGATGCCTACGATCGATGTAAATGCCAGTCAATCGACAAATCGGCACCCCGCAAAAAAATTGAAAGAAGGATAAACCTTATACTAGTTCATTAAACACTCCTTTAAATATACCTGCGTACGTATGAACTACTTCAGTGTAATAGGTGCACCGTTTCGGTTGTACTTTGATAACGCCTGTTTTCTTGCTTTTTACGTGCGGTGCTTAAGCCGTTGGGTATTACTTTAGACCGTTGATCTCCACCACTAGACGAAAAGTGTCTGCGTTTGTGTCCAAGCCTAGACTATTATGCGTCCCTAATCTTAACATAAAACATGTTACTCACTGCACTATCACGAAAATAACGTTTTATGCAGCCAGCATTAGGCAACAGTTACCAAGCAATGCGTTTAAATGAAATGTCTCAAGTTTTATGTATTATTAAGTCTTTCTTCAGGAACTATGGCCCCCAGGACACGTCCACGTGTGGCCTTGCACTTAACCCACCTTGCCTCTTTTTTAAATTAGTATGTAGATATGTCAAGACTACGCCATCACCCGTGAATAGCCTACGCGGCCGTAAATCGGCACGTATGGCCTTCACCTAAGCAGAAGACTTTTTGACCTTGAGGTCCGTCCACCAAATAAACGAAAGAACTATCAATCTGTAACAGTCGCACGGACCCAAAACGCCACGCAAAAGGTAAGCGTGGGGAGGGGGGGATACGGGCATCTTCATAATGCTGAGTAAAACACCAAACCATGCAGTTAATACATTCAGTTCTCTGAGTGAATTCCACATTGGAAAGCTAAGTGAGCACGTAGGATTCATTTCAAGAGA